ACTAATTCATGATACCAAATTTATATGATTAACATTTGCGGTTTATTGTAGTACATATTTTATAAAATTTTTAATTTTCGTATACAAATAATGATTAGTTATTAGTTAATAAGAAGATTACTTTTACATAAGACGTTACTCATGCCTTTCAACAACTGCTGCATTGAACTTTATGTCTTTTTAAGAAAAGTTTCCATTAGCTATTGTATAACACAATCAAAACATGCAAATATTGTTCAAACAACAAACGAAAAAAAAATAACGACACCAATTATAGAATAAACAATTCCACAAAGAAACATTTGTAAAACAATTATGGCGGATGCTGTTGTTAAAAGATGTAAACAAAACAACAAATAATAAATAAACAAGACATTAATAGCGGCAGCAAACAACAAAAACAACATAAAGTATATGAATGAAGAAAAAATGGCTACCGCAAAATGTTTCAGTTTTTTTTTTTTTTGCTTTTTGCTTTACAGCCAGCACACAAAACAAAAACAACCAATGAGCGAGAGAGTATGAGTATGGAGAAATATATAAGTACAACTACTAATAAATAAATAACAAAAAAACACATTTAAAATGGTATAAATTGATATATAGTTTTTGTTAAAGTAAACATGGCGGGGGTAATAAATATAAATTGAATTAATAAAATAACATTGTTTATTAATAGCTGGCAATTAATTTGTGTTATTTAAATGATGAGTAAAAGAAATGTATAAAGTTTTTCTTTATGATAGCAATGTAGTTAATTTATAGAGAGAACCAAATGGAAAATTCTTCAAGTATGAGAACATTTTGAAGATCGTTAGATTTAGGAGTTAATAAACTTATATTGATGTGAGTTCTTCTCAGTCTAAAGAATACATTGTATATGTATGTTATTCTTGTTTTTCACAACTCAGTTTTACAGCCTGCTGTGAAAACTTAATGATCTTTGAGAGCCTGTTCCAGTTCATGTTTAAATCGGATTTGAGAATGAGTCAGGTTCTTAAAGTGTAATATTCAGAAGAAAACCCTTCTCAATCCGAGGAACAAAACTTTGTTTTTCCACAAATCAATCTAATATCTCTCAGCATGTGGAACCGAATAACGTGTGAGTGTTTCTCCGAGTTATTCTGATTTGAGATAGAGAAATTTGTCAAGAGTTTGTGTCTTGTCTGACTCTCTCAAACTCACAGGGTTCATAAATTTATGCGAATATATGTACTTTGAGCCCTTCTTAGTCTGCAAAACATAACACTCGTTCTCCACAATTCAATCTATAACATCACTCCCTCTGTAAAGGCCCAATGATCTTTCAAATCTCCTTCGATTTTTCCTATTATTCGTATATAAGAACGTGATATTTCTTAAAGGTCATTATAATCTGACCTTTCCCGTCTTTCTGGTAACATTCGGATTCCATGCCAAAGGTAGTTCTCATCCTTTGAGGCCAAGAACGAATCAAACCAATTTGAGATATCATGTACAAAACTGAAGCGTATCCTAGAGAGAGAGACATCTACATCGATCGTAACAAATAGTAATCAAACGCTAAAAGATCTGTACTATAAAGTGTGTGAGGAAGAACTTCTCAGCCAGATAATCCTAAAAATTGTAAGCCAATACTCCTTTCAAATGAGTCTGTTGCATTCCCTGTGATGGCCTAGTCACTCTTGCGAAACGAGTTATCCTAATGGAAACATTTTGAGGCTACTACTTGAGTAGTTCCCAATGATCTCAAATTCTTAGTTTCTCGGCTCCAATTTGTATAACATCCAATTTTTCTGCTTTTAGTTGAATCCTGCTGAATCCCGCTAAACTTTTCAATTTGCAAGTTCTTGTTAAGATTTAACCATCTTTATGGAGTAATACCACCAATTCTTGGTCTCTCGGCTTCAATACTTGTAGAACCCTTTGTCTGCTTCTAGTCTTAAATGGCTGCTTGAGTAACTCGGAATGATTTTACAAACTTTTTCAATTTTCCTGTTTCTGCATGAATTATGTTCCAAGAGTTGAGTCAGTATGACAACAATATTAATGGAGTAATACCTCCAATTTTTGGTCTCTCAGCTGCAATTCTTATGCATCCTGGTACTCATAAACACTCTATAATGACCGCTTGAGTAACAAAGGTTCTCATTGAGTAATGCTTCTAAGATTCTCGGCTTGATATCTTACAGTCACATGGTGTAAAGACACCAATTCTTGGTCTCTTAGCTTTAATTGTTATGATACCCTTAGGATGCTTATGGATACATCCTACTACTCGCAAACATTATAAAATGATCGCTTGAGTAACTCTCAATGATTTCATAAAGTTTTGTTAAGTTTTGGGGTCTCAATTGTAATTTGAAAGGTTAATTCTGCTGCTCACAAACTTTCAATATTGCTGTCTGGGGATCCCCTAATGATGTTGTAGAGTTATTGAGTTTGAAAACTATCTTCATAGAGTAAACATTCGGATTTTAATGGTACGATATCATGGAGTAATGCTACCAGTTTTTGCTCTCTCGGCTTCAATTCTTATCATACCCTTTGCCTGCTTCAGAATGCACCCTGTTGCTGGCAAACACTGTAATATTACTGCCTGAGTAACTCTCAATAATTTCAAAAACTTTTGTTAAGTTTAACAAAAATCTTCATGGACTGACTAATGACTGCTATTATTGGTCTCTCAGTTCCAATTCGTAAGGTTAATTCTGCTGCTCACAAACGTTTTCAAATTGCTGCTTGGGGATCTCCCAATGATGTTGCAAGTGTTAGCGAGTTTCAAAACAATCTTTATAGAGTAATGCCTCTACATTTTGGTGTCTCGACTTGAAAATCCTCCCTATAATTTTGTTAAATCTTGTTGAGTTTAACAACAATCTTATTGGAATAATGCCTCCAATCATTGGTCCTTCGGCTCCAATACTTTGTGATAAAAGCGTACAACCAAAGATATCAAACTTCAGAGACTTCAATTCTTTGCCTTTGGCTAGCCTGAACAATCTTTGCCTTTCTTGTCAAAATCACCATTTCGGAACCGCATAAACCTTTTCTCTCAGTTGGAAACCGATGAGGACAAATGACAAATCGGTTCTCTTTAAAATAACATAGAAGATACTGAAGGCAAAATATAACGTTCAAGTAATACGTCTTCTGTTGTGGACCACGTATTTATACCCTACACCACTTTAGTAGGGAGGGTATATTGGGTTTGTGCTGATGTTTGTAACGCACAATAATATTGGTCCTATAACCACCTTAAAGTAAACCAATCGGCTTAGAATCATTTTCTGAGTCGATATAACTATGTATATCTGCCTGTTTGTCTGTCTGTCTGTCTGTCTGTCTGTCTGTCTATCTGTCTGTCCGTCTGTCCGTCCATGTGAACCTTGTAATTAAACTACAGGTCGCATGGTACATGATCTTCTATTGAACCAGAGACGAAGCGTATTGCAAATGGTTAACATCTCTGTTAGTTTAGGTGGCCTCCGGTAGGTTAGTGTTCTAGTCTGGTAGACCGGAGGTGGTGGGTTTGATTCCCACCTGAGGCACTGGTTAAGGAGCGCACAACAGGCCTGATAGAGGCCTAGGTGTATTTCTTCGGATTTGATGTATATACATCCTCCTTTCAAACTAACTAATTAACATCTACAACTATAATTTCCTACTTTTTTTTTAAGTTGTAATCGAATAACGGCCTCAAGCTATTCTAAAGTGAAACTAGTTAAAAAATACTAACTTTCTTATTAAATAGCAGTGAGAACAGTTTTTGAAACAAACCTATAGATTCTTTAAATAAAGCAAAAGTGACGGACAACATTTAAGCTCTTGGTTGTTTGTCAAAATTACACAAAAATGTATATCAAAACAATTTAAGAATATCACGTAAATATTGAATAAAAGTGAGAAGAGTTTTAACTCCACTTTAGAGGGGGAAAAGTATAACTAAAACTTATTTAAGAAATTCCAATAGAGTGGGAACAGTTCATACAGCTTGTATTTAAAGTAACTTATATGAAAAATGTATAAAATTAAAAATGAACTGGGAACAGAGAGAATACTAAGCCAGCGGGAACATATTATGTATGAAAATTTTTACCATTACAAATTTAGAAATAGTTTTTAATTTGTATTCGAAAGACTGTCTGAACATGGAAAATATTTCAGACCTTAAACAAATTTAGATGATTTTTAGGAATACTAGACCTGTATTTCTCACTGTTGATCTTTGTTTTTTGGGAATTGATCCAAATTGATGAATGAATTCTTTAGGAATTTACTAGAATAGACATTTTCTAGAGCAAAGCAGCTGTTTAAACTTTTATATTTTCAAAATAAACTTTTCTCTAATAAAATCTTTAACAAAATTGTTTATTTGTTTATTTTTCTCCTCCTCCTTTAATAACAATTTTACTCAATTATTTTACTACTATTTTAGCTTATTAAGTAAAATTATTAAATACTAATTTTTAACACAATATTTAGGCATTCTCTTTTATCCCTTACAACAGCTGGGGCTCTCACAAGTGAGTAGCAAAATTGAAAAAACAACAAAAATAACAACAACAGAAATAAATAAACAAATACTACAAAAAACACAGGCAATAAAAACAAATTAAAAGCATTTAATAACTCGTTAACACAACAATACCCATAAACAACAACAACAAAATAAAGAGCCGCCGAGAGTTATAATCCCCCCGACAAAAAGAAGAGCATAAATAAGAAAATAAACAATAACAAGAAAAAATAACTCATTTGGGGGGTCTTGAGAATAAAAGCAAGAGAGCTTATCAACAACACTTGTTGAAAATTATCATAAATGAGTAAATTATACCACTCTCTGTCTCTCTCTCTGGAACCTTAACTCTCTTTAACAGCTTTTGAAAACGAAATATTATGCTCCCCTTTTAAGAAAAGTGCTCTTTTTGGGGATATGAGAGCTTAAAGGAGAGCGAAAATTTTTCTATATTTTTGTTTAAAGGGGGGCATTACAAAAAATGGCAACACTACACTATTTTAGTAGTATTTTTACTGTTGTCATTGTCGCTTCATATAATACAATAGAAAATTATAAAAAAAAAATATTTGTTTTTGTTTTTGAGTTGTTTTTGGTTTACGAACTTTTGTGTGGTGTGTTTCTACTTATTATTATTCTTGTTGCTGTTATTGTGTTTTTAGAGTACGAGTACTAACTGCAGCAACAACAACAACAACAACAAATTCGTAATGCGAAATGCATGCATGCGTATGGACGTATATGACTGTCAAATGTTTGTAGTTTTTTTTTTACTATAGAGTTATTTTTTAGTCGATGTTGATTATTGCACACGTAAATAGTAGTACGCGCGGTAAAAAAAGTACCAAAATACAAAAAAAAAAAAAAAAGTAAAACTATAAAATTTCATTAAATTTAATAATAATTATAAATAAAGTGATTAAAAATTACAAAAAAAAAAAATATAAACAATTGAAATTTTTTTTATTCAAAAAGAAAATAATCAAGGTGAATATTTTAGTTTAAGTTAAAAAAACAAAAATTTATTCAAATAAATTTAAAAATTTTATTAAAATTTAAATAAAATTTTTAAAATTCTTTAAAATTTTTTAAAGATTTTTTAAAAATTTTTTAAAATTTTTTAAAATTTTTAAAAATTTTTTAAAATCTTTTTAAAATTTTTTAAAAATTTTCAAAATAAAACCTTAAAAAAACGTTAAACCAAAGTGAGAAGAGTTTTTTTTAAAACTTAGTATCAAAATAATATCAAAATCCATAAAATATTTTTTAATAAAAAGCACAACAATAATAAAAGTAGCAAATTTTTAAAAAGGAAACAGTTTTAACTCTCTAATTACATTTTAGTGGGAACAGTTTTTGAAACAATACCAAAACTAAAGCCCAACGAACAATAACTTCTCTATTTACATTTCAAATATGAAAAAGTATCCTAAAATAGCGTTAAACCCTAGTGGGAAGAGTTTTCTTTAAAGACTTTTAGAAACAAACTACAAAATCAATAAAACACAACAACAATACAAATAGTAAAGTATTAAAGTGGGAACAGTTTAAACTTTTTAATTATAGCTGAGAACAAAACACAACAAATTAAGTAGCAAAGTTCTAAAGTGGGAATAGTGCATAAAATTACACATTTATCAATAAAAACTGGGAACAGTAAGAGTGTTAAGCCAGCGGGAACAGATTTTATATGAATATGTCGACCATAAAAGTCATAGCTAAAGTCTGTTTAACAAACAGCTGTATAAAGTTGTTAATTTATAACAAAACGTCCATTAAAAGTATACAAGTGGGAACAGTTCCAATAACTTCAAAGCGCAAGCTATATATACAAAGAACAACAAATATCTAGAGAAATATGAATTTTACAGAAAACAATACCAGTGGGAACAGTTGAATCATGATGAATATTGCAATAGGTACAGTTTTTAAGTGTCAAAAGATATCGGTCAAAGAAAACTCATAGTATTTTAAACATGGAAACAGTTTTTGTGAAATCACTTTAGAATCATGAAAGTTTTAAAATAAACAAAGAAACAACCTAATTGAAAACCTTTCATAACACAAAAAACATAAGCAATCTAAAACTGAGAACAGTTTATATATACTCATTACGGAATGCTAAAAACTGAAGTAGGAATAGTTTTTCTAATATCAAAATATTTCCGACATTTTCAAACACATGTATGTTTCGTAAGCATTTGACGTTAATAATAATCGAATGAGTAAATGAATGATAAAAAGTACTTGATTCAATTAACTACTAGATCAATTTATAATCACTTCTGAACGGCTATATTTAAAGTGGGAACACTTTGTTATAAAAAAAAGTTAATTAAAATTTTGCTATAGTTTGCTAACAACTTAACTTGATATCTTTAGAACAAAATTAATTTCTGGAGTGGGAACAGTTATAGTGTTTAAGAATTAAGTGGGGAAGAACTTAACGATATAGATGCCTATAAATAGAACAACCTTAAATAGAAAGTGTTGTACTTTTTAATCTTTTTAAGCCCATTGGTTAAGAATGAGCAACGTAAGACATAGTTCAACAAATGCTGTCCTATCGGTCACATAACGATTCACTGTCTTTTCAGATAATCTAACTTCTTGTAGCCTCCATAACTGGCACAATCTAGACGCGGTTCTAATATACTCTCCCCATAAATTACTATGAATTTTACAAAAAACTCATCAACATTTTTTTTAACATTATCAGGTTTAGAAAGCATTTTACATATTACAGGAAGAAACGATCTGTATCTAGTAACATGATCATTAAGCTGTCATGCCTGACATTGGCATTTTTAGTTAGTTAGGTGGTTAGTTGGTTAGTTAGTTAGTTAGTTAGTTAGTTAGGTGGTTAGTTGGTTAGTTGGTTAGTTGGTTAGTTAGTTAGTTAGTTAGTAGTAGTTAGTTAGTTAGTTAGTAGTTAGTTAGTTAGTTAGTTAGTTAGTTAGTTAGTTAGTTAGTTAGTTAGTTAGTTAGTTAGTTAGTTAGTTAGTTAGTTAGTTAGTTAGTTAGTAGTTAGTTAGTTAGTTAGTAGTTAGTTAGTAGTTAGTTAGTTAGTAGTTAGTAGTAGTTAGTTAGTTAGTTAGTTAGTTAGTTAGTTAGTTAGTTAGTTAGTTTAGTTAGTTAGTTAGTTAGTAGTTAGTTAGTTAGTTTTAGTTAGTTAGTTAGTTAGTTAGTTAGTTAGTTAGTTAGTTAGTTAGTTAGTTAGTTAGTTAGTTAGTTAGTTAGTTAGTTAGTTAGTTAGTAGTTAGTTAGTTAGTTAGTTAGTTAGTTAGTTAGTAGTTAGTTAGTTAGTTAGTTAGTTGTTAGTTAGTTAGTTAGTTAGTTAGTTAGTTAGTTAGTTAGTTAGTTAGTTAGTTAGTTAGTTAGTTAGTTAGTTAGTTAGTTAGTTAGTTAGTTAGTTAGTTAGTTAGTTAGTTAGTTAGTAGTTAGTTAGTTAGTTAGTTAGTAGTTAGTTAGTTAGTTAGTTAGTTAGTTAGTTAGTTAGTTAGTTAGTTAGTAGTTAGTTAGTTAGTAGTTAGTTAGTTAGTTAGTTAGTTAGTTAGTAGTTAGTTAGTAGTTAGTTAGTTAGTTAGTTAGTAGTTAGTTAGTTAGTTAGTTAGTTAGTTAGTTAGTAGTTAGTAGTTAGTAGTTAGTTAGTTAGTTAGTTAGTTAGTTAGTTAGTTAGTAGTTAGTAGTTAGTTAGTTAGTTAGTTAGTAGTTAGTTAGTTAGTTAGTTAGTTAGTTAGTTAGTTAGTTAGTTAGTTAGTTAGTTAGTTAGTAGTTAGTTAGTAGTTAGTTAGTAGTAGTTAGTTAGTTAGTTAGTTAGTTAGTAGTAGTTAGTTAGAGTAGTTAGTTAGTTAGTAGTTAGTTAGTTAGTTAGTTAGTTAGTTAGTTAGTTAGTTAGTTAGTAGTAGTTAGTTAGTTAGTTAGTAGTTAGTTAGTTAGTTAGTTAGTGTTAGTTAGTAGTAGTTAGTTAGTAGTAGTTAGTTAGTTAGTAGTTAGTTAGTTAGTTAGTTAGTTAGTTAGTAGTTAGTAGTTGTTAGTAGTTAGTTAGTTAGTAGTTAGTTAGTTAGTTAGGTAGTTATTAGTTAGTTCGTTAGTTAGTTAGTTAGTTAGTAGTTGTTAGTTAGTAGTTAGTTAGTTAGTTAGTTAGCTTAGTTAGTTAGTTAGTTGTTAGTAGTTAGTAGTTAGTTTAAAAAGAGTAAATTTTCTTTCAATACTCCTAAAAGATTAATTCTAGAAGTTTTACGTCATAAATCATTACTTATTATACTTCTACGATTCATAACAATTATATACTTAGAAAATATAATTGATTAAAACATTTTGGCGGCATTTTTTTTTTATTTCAAACTCAATACATTCAAAATTTCAACATTAATTCATTCCCAAAAGGTGTTATTATTGATTAATTGCACAAATTCCTTAACTTAAATGGGAACAGTTACATTCACATTAATTATCGCAGCATTTTGTACAAACCATTAATTAAAATAACAAAAATGGTAAAAGAAATAAATTCTGATAATTTTTGTTTAACCCTGATTATTAAACACGAGAGACACAAGAAAGAAAAAAACAAAAACTCGTAGAAAAAAATAATAATTAAAATTAATTAATCATTTTAATAATTTTTTTTTTTTAACAAGAAAACAAGCCCACTTGAGTGCTTAACACTATAATTAAGTGTAATTATATTTTACCTTATAATTTATGAAAAATGAACAACTACAAATAATTAACAACATAAATAATAGAATAATAAAAAAATTAAGAAAAAAATAACATTAACCAACAAAATTAATTACACACAAGTGTTTAAGAACAAAAAACAAGAAATGGTTAAACAAAAAAATTATTACAAATTATTAACTTGACAAAGACAAACACAAGCCCAATGAAGAAATATAAAAAATTTAACAAAAAAAAAAGTGACACAATTCTAGTTAAAAAAGCGTATTTAAACAGTTGTAGCAAGAATATTAGCATTATAAAATAACAAATTACAAAATTGTATATAAATGTCAAAAATATAAAAATAATTATTTAAACAGTAATTAAAGGGGGTTAATGGAAAGTTTCTCAATTGTTTGAGACTTCAGGCTCAGATCATTTAGACATGTGTTTGGAAATTTTGTTGTGAAATTAATATCTTGGAAAGTTTTTTGTGGTTAATATAAAGATGAAATTATATATTTTGTTTTTAAAATTAGTAAATGTTTGTTTAGTATTAACTGAAACGTAGTTTTAATACATATCTAGATTCTAGAGTGGAGTTTCCAGTTATTAGAAATGATTTGTTATTGCATTCAAATTTTTTGACGTAAAAATTTGTTTACGACGCAAGTACGTACACTTTTCAAAAATTTCTTTTAGATGTTTACATTTATAAGCGAAAAATTACCATTATAGAGAAAACTAATTAACTAGAACAGAAGTAGAACAGAACTAGAACAGAACTAGAACAGAACTAGAACAGAACTAGAACAGAACTAGAACAGAACAAGAACAGAACTAGAACAGAACAAGAACAGAACTAGAACAGAACTAGAACAGAACTAGAACAGAACAGAACTAGAACAGAACTAGAACAGAATTAGAACAGAACTAGAACAGAACTAGAAAAGAACTAGAACAGAACTAGAACAGAACAGAACTAGAACAGAACTAGAACAGAACTAGAACAGAACTAGAACAGAACTAGAACAGAACTAGAACAGAACTAGAACAGAACCGAACTAGAACAGTTCTAGAACAGAAATAGAACAGAACTAGAACAGAACTAGAACAGAACTAGAACAGAACTAGAACAGAACTAGAACAGAACTAGAACAGAACTAGAACAGAACTAGAACAGAACTAGAACAGAACTAGAACAGAACTAGAACAGAACTAGAACAGAACTAGAACAGAACTAGAACAGAACTAGAACTAGAACAGAACTAGAACAGAACTAGAACAGAACTAGAACAGAACTAGAACAGAACTAGAACAGAACTAGAACAGAACTAAAATAGAACTAGAAGAACTAGAACAGAACTAGAACAGAACTAGAACAGAACTAGAACAGAACTAGAACAGAACTAGAACAGAACTAGAACAGAACTAGAACAGAACTAGAACAGAACTAGAACAGAACTAGAACAGAACTAGAACAGAACTAGAACAGAACTAGAACAGAACTAGAACAGAACTAGAACAGAACTAGAACAGAACTAGAACAGAACTAGAACAGAACTAGAACAGAACTAGAACAGAACTAGAACAGAACTAGAACAGAACTAGAACAGAACTAGAACAGAACTAGAACAGAACTAGAACAGAACTAGAACAGAACTAGAACAGAACTACAACTAGAACAGAACTAGAACAGAACTAGAACAGAACAGAACTAGAACAGAACTAGAACAGAACTAGAATAGAACTAGAACAGAACTAGAACAGAACAGAACTAGAACAGAACTAGAACAGAACAGAACTAGAACAGAACTAGAACAGAACTAGAACAGAACTAGAACTAGAACTAGAACAGAACTAGAACAGAACTAGAACAGAACAGAACTAGAACAGAACTAGAACAGAACTAGAACAGAACTAGAACAGAACTAGAACAGACTAAAACAGAACTAGAACAGAACTAGAACAGAACTAGAACAGAACTAGAACAGAACTAGAACAGAACTAGAACAGAACTAGAACAGAACTAGAACAGAACTAGAACAGAACTAGAACAGAACTAGAACAGAACTAGAACAGAACTAGAACAGAACTAGAACAGAACTAGAACAGAACTAGAACAGAACTAGAACAGAACTAGAACAGAACTAGAACAGAACTAGAATAGAACTAGAACAGAACTTACACTGGATCTAGCACTAGATCTAAAGTAGAACTGTATAAGAACTGAACTAGAACTGAACTAGAACTGAACTAGAACTGAACTAGAACTGAACTAGAACTGAACTAGAACTGAACTAGAACTGAACTAGAACTGAACTAGAACTGAACTAGAACTGAACTAGAACTGAACTAGAACTGAACTAGAACTGAACTAGAACTGAACTAGAACTGAACTAGAACTGAACTAGAACTGAACTAGAACTGAACTAGAACTGAACTAGAACTGAACTAGAACTGAACTAGAACTGAACTAGAACTGAACTAGAACTGAACTAGAACTGAACTAGAACTGAACTAGAACTGAAACTAGAACTGAACTAGAAACTGAACTAGAACTGAACTAGAACTGAACTAGAACTGAACTAGAACTGAACTAGAACTGAACTAGAACTGAACTAGAACTGAACTAGAACTGAACTAGAACTGAACTAGAACTGAACTAGAACTGAACTAGAACTGAACTAGAACTGAACTAGAACTGAACTAGAACTGAACTAGAACTGAACTAGAACTGAACTAGAACTGACCTAGAACTAAACTAGAACTGAACTAGAAGCTAGAACTAGAACTGAACTAGAACTGAACTAGAACTGAACTAGAACTGAACTAGAACTGAACTAGAACTGAACTAGAACTGAAACTAACTAGAAACTGAACTAGAACTGAACTAGAACTGAACTAGAACTGAACTAGAACTGAACTAGAACTGAACTAGAACTGAACTAGAACTGAACTAGAACTGAACTAGAACTGAACTAGAACTGAACTAGAACTGAACTAGAACTGAACTAGAACTGAACTAGAACTGAACTAGAACTGAACTAGAACTAAACTAGAACTGAACTAGAACTGAACTAGAACTGAACTAGAACTGAACTAGAACTAAACTGGAACAAGACTATAATTAAACTAAATTTAAGATATCAGTCAGAAACTAGACTAGATTTTTGTTTTTATAAGAACCATTTTAAAGTTTTGAAATAATAAATATATTTTTTTAATATTTATAATTAATTTCAAGTTTCAAAATTATAATTATTCATTAAAATTCCAATTAGTTCAAATCGCATGCTATATTTCCATGACCCACTGTAATGCAACTACATTAAAATTGCATGAAATCATAAAAAATAAAGCAAATATTTAATAAAACAACAAAAAAACACCCACATTTTTTTTTTCGCTGAGCAAACAAATTATTGTTTAAAAAAAATTTTGAAGAAGAAAAAATAATATTTTACAGCTCGTAAATAAAGCAATAAATTAATGTTTAAGCATATACAGAAAACAGCAGTGAACTACTGCTGCAACAATAACAACAGCAACACAAAAATAAGATTTATTACCAAATTGCATTACAAATGTAAATTTTTTATAATAATAATAATAATTTTCTGCCATACTTAAACACAAACAACGATAGTGTGCACTCTCTAGCACTCCGTCTCTCTTGTTAGCATTAATGTTATTTTCCTTTTTCTCTTTACAGAGCTGCAAGTAACCAAGTACTGGAGAGTATTAATGTGGTTTATTGTGGTAAATATAAAAAAGTGTTTGTTTGTATGTAGGAGAGGAGGATAAAATATCAAACCGCAAAAACCGCATGTTAACCAGCCAAGCACAACCAAATAAAAAAAAAGTTTAAATTATAAAAAAAAAATATAGTGCAAAAACAACAACAAAAAAATATTAAAACCAACCAAACAAACCATATTAAATGTATAGAAGTCGTTAAAAATTAAATTACAGCTAAAATAAATTCATTTCTACATGAAATTAATGTGTTATAGGAAAAAAAGAGAAAAGAGCAAAATACAATTGCAACTAACAAATTGAATAAAATGTAAAATTTATTACTTAATTAAAACTCAAAGCAAATAAACCAAATGAAAAAATAATAATAATAATAAAATGTATTAAATAAGTGTAATAAAAAAATACAGTAAAATAATTATATGAAATGCAAGAAAAATGTTAATTTTATTAATAAATTCATTAAAAAATTTAATAACACAAAAACCAACAAGTAATGCTCAGTTAAGTTATAAATTACAATTATAATTAAATAAAAACATATTAAACAATAAAAAAAATACCAACAATATTAAAAAAAAATCCTAAAAAAACACTAAATCCCCTCAATAACACGTTTGTTTTCACACTCTTAAATATATAAAATAAACAATAATAAAACAACAAATTATAATTATTTTAGCTTTAAACAATTAGCCAAATAAATTAATTAATATTAATAACCACAACAACAATAATAATAACCACTTTAATACAGCCATAAAAAAAAATTAAAACTGCGCCGAAGCTTCTAACAAAAACAATAATTTCACAACTCTCTCTTGTTTGCTAAACTCCCAAAAAAAAAAATCTCTCAAACTCCCCTTACTCCTAAAAAAAAAAAAAAAAAAAAATTTCCTTCAAGTGCTAACATTACTACAGTTAATGCAAGTGTGTGTGTTTACTACTTGTTTTGCCTATTTTACTCTCACTTTGTGGATTAGAGAGTAAAATTGTTTGAAAACAAAAACAAAACAAAGTAAAAGAAAAGAAAATTTACTTCTATTTCTCCTCAACACTAAGCTAAAAGGAGTATTAATTCCCTCTAAAGTGCAATTTCCTGCTAGAGTTTTTTTTTAGAGTACTATTGCTCTTTATTTACCTCTTACGCTCTTCTTGTGCAACACTCAACCCGTATAAAGGGTTTTTCATCGGGATATACAAATTTCATTTCGTAGCCGTTAATTATAAAAAGCCGTCAAAGTGGATTTAACAAATTATAATAAAATGCTGCAATCCAGCAATCAATATTTGAGGCCGGATTATATGGTGGCACCAACTGCGGTAAGTTTAGTTATAAGAATTTAATAGTCTGAGTAAGAGAAGGAATCAGTCTGTCCCTATGTCATATGTGAATATCAAGGACATTTCCGGAATATATTAAGAACTTGGATCATTTTGGATCCAAGGTCTACAGAATATAAATAAGTGAACTAGAACTAATATAGAACTAGAACTGAACCAGAACTGAACTAGAACTGAACAAGAACTGAACTAGAACTGAACTAGAACTGAACTAGAACTGAACTAGAACTGAACTAGAACTGAACTAGAATGAACTAGAACTGAACTAGAACTGAACTGAACTAGAACTGAACTAGAACTGAACTAGAACTGAACTAGAACTGAACTAGAACTGAACTAGAACTGAACTAGAACTGAACTAGAACTGAACTAGAACTGAACTAGAACTGAACTAGAACTGAACTAGAACTGAACTAGAACTGAACTAGAACTGAACTAAAACTGAACTAGAACTGAACTGGAACTGAACTAGAACTAAACTAGAACTAAACTAGAACTGAACTAAAACTGAACTAGAACTGAACTAGAACTGAACCAGAACTGAACCAGAACTGAACTAGAACTGAACTAGAACTGAACTAGAAATAGAACTAGAACTGAACTAGAAATAGAACTGAATTAGAACTGAACTAGAACTGAACTAGAACTAAAATAGAACTTAACTAGAACTGAACTAGAACTAAAATAGAACTAAACTAGAACTGAGCTAGAACTGAACTAGAACTGATCTGCAACCGAACTAGAACTGAACGAGAACTAGAACTGAACTGAACTAGAACTGAACTAGAACTGAACTAAACTGAACTAAAACTGAACTAGAACTGAACTAGAACTGAACTAGAACTGAACTAGAACTGAACTAGAACTGAACTAGAACTGAATTAGAACTGAACTAGAACTGAACTAGAACTGAACTAGAACTGAACTAGAACTGAACTAGAACTGAACTAGAACTGAACTAGAACTGAACTAGAACTGAACTAGAACTGAACTAGAACTGAACTAGAACTGAACTAGAACTGAACTAGAACTGAACTAGAACTGAACTAGAACTGAACTAGAACTGAAGTAGAACTGAACTAGAACTGAACTAGAACTGAACTAGAACTGAACAAGAACTGAACTAGAACTGAACTAGAACTGAACTAGAACTGAACTAGAACTGAACAAGAACTGAACTAGAACTGAACAAGAACTGAACTAGAACTGAACTAGAACTGAACTAGAACTGAACTAGAACTGAACTTGAACTGAACTAGAAGTGAACTAGAACTGAACTAGAACTAAACTAGAACTGAACTAGAACTGAACTAGAACTGAACTAGAACTGAACTAGAACTGAACAAGAACTGAACTAGAACTGAACTAGAACTGAACTAGAACTGAACTAGAACTGAACTAGAACTGAACTAGAACTGAACTAGAACTGAACTAGAACTGAACTAGAACTGAACTAGAACTGAACTAGAACTGAACTAGAACTGAACGAGAACTGAACTAGAACTGAACTAGAACTGAACTAGAACTGAACTAGAACTGAACTAGAACTGAACTAGAACTGAACTAGAACTGAACTAGAACTGAAATAGAACTGAACTAGAACTGAACTAGAACTGAACTAGAACTGAACTAGAACTGAACTAGAACTGAACTAGAACTGAACTGAACTAGAACTGAACTAGAACTGAACTAGAACTGAACTAGAACTGAACTAGAACTGAACTAGAATTGAACTAGAACTGAACTAGAACTGAACTAAAACTGAACTAGAACTGAACCAGAACTGAACTGGAACTGAACTAGAACTGAACTAGAAGTGAACTAGAAGTGAACTAGAACTAAACTAGAACTGAACTAGAACTAGAACTGAACTAAATTTTTAGTTTTAATGGAGAATGTGTAAGCGTCCTTATTTTAGCTCTAATTGAGACCATTCTATGACGTACTTTTAAGTTTTAGTGGTGTGTCTGTAGTCCAATATGAGCATATATGACTGATCTTAAACTTATTTGACCTTGCTTTACTAAGTTTTAATCATATTAGTGGTCTATTTTAATTTTGGCCTTTTTAAGATAAATTGAGAGTTTATATAGCCAGCAGGTTGGCTTAAGTTTTGAACATTTATATAGTCTACTTTTGAGCTTTAGTCGTGGATCATGAAATAGTCTATAGTTAGCCATAATATAGGGAATTTAGAGTGTCATTGAGAGCCAAATAGCAATGGAAAATTATTATATAATTTGGCAAATTTTTTTGAAAAATATTTAAAAATATAAAATCACCATCCATTAAACGATTTAATTGTCAAAAATAGTCAAAGATTATGCAACCAAAAAAATTTAAACGTTTTAATTAAATACACATACATATGTAAGTATCTCAAAAAAGAAATAATAATTTAACCATAAATTTCAATATACTATAACTATTTTACAAATAAATTTATTGCTCCCAAAGACAAACAACAAATAAAAAATTTTAAAAAGACACATCATAATTATACGAAATACAAGACGAAAAAATCACAAACGACATTGTGGCGTCATATTATATAGACACATCAACAACAGTAAATTTTTACTAAGTTTGACAGCTGTCAGACTGACATTTAAACAAACATGCACCATAACATGAAATGACGAAAACTTAATATAGTTATGGATGGACATAATAAAAATAACAAAAACAACAACCAAAACATATGATCATAATGGACTTTCACTTTATTTATATCAATAAATTGTTTTTTATTTAATTTTTTATAGTTTTGATTCTTTTTTTTATAATAAACCGCCACAGCAACAAATTAAACAACATCATGAAAAACACATCAAAACTTATCACTCATTCACTCACTTTATCAAAATGTACTCAAAATTACTACAACAACAAATATTTTACAAAACACTTTTATACAGTTTGGTTAATAAACTTTAATCGCTTACAAGCTTAAATGGCGCCAATTAAAATTGATTTAAATCTGAAAATGAACACAACATAATAGCGCCAAAAGCATTACAAACATGAAGTTTCAGTTACTCATTCAGTCAGTCATTCATTACATTTTGAGACTGAAATTCATACGCTTGAAAATGTTGAAAATTTGTTACACTAACGCGCAAATACGTTGAGTTGTTCAGATAGAGTTAAAAGTTTGGTATTTGTTAAATTGTGTGTAAATAGTTCTTTTTTTATAGTTTTGATTTTTATTTCAATTTTTTATGCTATTGTAGAGTTGACGCAACATATTTTCAATTTGACACTTATGCGTCTGGAATATGTGTCTGTTAGTCGTTAATATTAAATTTTTAAATCGAAGATTGTTGAGATTGTTAAGTAATGTATGGGTATTAATAAATTTTTTCAAACGGCATTTTTTAAAAAGGTTTTACATCGGTCTTCTTTTAGTTTAATTCTAGTTCAGTTCTAGTTCAGTTCTTGTTCAGTTCTATTTCAGTTTTAGTTCAGTTTCTAGTTCAGTTCTAGTTTCAGTTCTAGTTTCAGTCTAGTTCAGTTAGTTCAGTTCTAGTTCAGTTCTAGTTCAGTTCTAGTTCAGTTCTAGTTCAGTTCTAGTTCAGTTCTAGTTCAGTTCTAGTTCAGTTCTAGTTCAGTTCTAGTTCAGTTCTAGTTCAGTTCTAGTTCAGTTCTAGTTCAGTTCTAGTTCAGTTCTAGTTCAGTTCTAGTTCAGTTCTAGTTCAGTTCTAGTTCAGTTCTAGTTCAGTTCTAGTTCAGTTCTAGTTCAGTTCTAGTTCAGTTCTAGTTCAGTTCTAGTTCAGTTTCTAGTTCAGTTCTAGTTCAGTTCTAGTTCAGTTCTAGTTCAGTAGTTCTAGTTCAGTTCTAGTTCAGTTCTAGTTCAGTTCTAGTTCAGTTCTAGTTCAGTTCAGTTCTAGTTCAGTTCTAGTTCAGTTCTAGTTCTAGTTCAGTTCTAGTTCAGTTCTAGTTCTGTTATAGTTCAGTTCTAGTTCAGTTCTAGTTCAGTTCTAGTTCAGTTCTAGTTCAGTTCTAGTTCAGTTCTAGTTCAGTTCTAGTTCAGTTCTAGTTCAGTTCTAGTTCAGTTCTAGTTCAGTTCTAGTTCAGTTCTAGTTCAGTTCTAGTTCAGTTCTAGTTCAGTTCTAGTTCAGTTCTAGTTCAGTTCTAGTTCAGTTCTAGTTCAGTTCTAGTTCAGTTCTAGTTCAGTTCTAGTTCAGTTCTAGTTCAGTTCTAGTTCAGTTCTAGTTCAGTTCTAGTTCAGTTCTAGATCAGTTCTAGTTCAGTTCTAGTTTAGTTCTAGTTTAGTTCTAGTTCAGTTCTAGTTCAGTTCTAGTTCAGTTCTAGTTCAGTTCTAGTTCAGTTCTAGTTCAGTTCTTGTTCAGTAGTTCAGTTCTAGTTCAGTTCTAGTTCAGTTCTAGTTCAGTTCTAGTTCAGTTCTAGTTCAGTTCTAGTTCAGTTCTAGTTCAGTTCTAGTTCAGTTCTAGTTCAGTTCTAGTTCAGTTCTAGTTCAGTTCTAGTTCAGTTCTAGTTCAGTTCTAGTTCAGTTCTAGTTCAGTTCTAGTTCAGTTCTAGTTCAGTTCTAGTTCAGTTCTAGTTCAGTTCTAGTTCAGTTCTAGTTCAGTTCTAGTTCAGTTCTAGTTCAGTTCTAGTTCAGTTCTAGTTCAGTTCTAGTTCAGTTCTAGTTCAGTTCTAGTTCAGTTCTAGTTCAGTTCTAGTTCAGTTCTAGTTCAGTTCTAGTTCAGTTCTAGTTCAGTTCTAGTTCAGTTCTAGTTCAGTTCTAGTTCAGTTCTAGTTCAGTTCTAGTTCAGTTCTAGTTCAGTTCTAGTTCAGTTCTAGTTCAGTTCTAGTTCAGTTCTAGTTCAGTTCTAGTTCAGTTCTAGTTCAGTTCTAGTTCAGTTCTAGTTCAGTTCTAGTTCAGTTCTAGTTCAGTCTAGTTCAGTTCTAGTAGTTCTAGTTGAGTTCTAGTTGAGTTCTACTTCAGTTCTAGTTCAGTTCAAGTTCAGTTCTAG